TGCACCACTTTTGGCTTACCTCGCCGACCACATTTTATCTGGAAAGTCACGTCTGAGAGACGATCCATTATGTCATATAGGCATCCCTATAGAGTAGACAACTTAGGAGACTTCCCTTTGGTCTTCCTGGGATTATACAACCACACCTTGTCTCCTGGTACAAAGCTGACTTCAGTAGATCTCTTATCATAAGTTAACTTCATCGAATCAGCAGGCGTTTTCAAGTTTGAATGCACTTGATGGTGAATATCATCCATCCTTTCCGATAACACTTTCACAAACTCTGACACATTTTCAGGCAACTCTTCATAAGGTGGGCGTCCTGTTAACAGATCCACTGGCAACCGATGTTTCATGCCAAACATCAACTTTGCTGAAGTGAATCCAGTGCTTTGCTGTCCTATAGGCCATCAACAATGGAAGGAGTAAGACATCCCAGTCATCTTGGCGGCTATTACAAAACTTTGCCAATTTCTGTCCCAGTGTTCAGTTGTACTTTTCTACCATCCCATCGGAATGTGGGTGAAGTGGCGTTGTCCTGGTCTTTCGGATGCCAAACATCTTGCAGCATTCTTGCACAGCTGATTCGAAGTTACGGCCTTGATCTGAAAGCAGTTCATATGGCATGCCAAATCTAAAGAAGAAATCACTAATAGCCGAAACTACAGTTGTAGCTTCTTGATTTGGTATTGCATATGCCTCAGGCCAATTGGGGAAATAATCCATCACCACACAAATGTACTTGTTTCCAGCACTAGATCGCGGCAGAGGACCAGCAATGTCAATGGCTACTCTTTCCATTGGTGCGCCAACTTGATATAATCTCATTGGAGCACGTCCTTATGCTTGGGTCCCCTTTTAGCACAACATGTACTGCATGTTCTGCACCATTCTTCCACATCTTGCTTCATACCTATACAGTAAAAGCTTTGTCGTAGGTGACTCAACGTCTTCTTAACTCCGAGATGTTTTCCTGTTAAACTACCATGGGATTGACGCAGCATAAATTCTCGTAACTTTCTCGGTATAACCGTTTGCCAGGTCGCACTTTCCCATCTGCAGTTTACCATCCCAGAGAAGAATACCATCTTCAAGCTTCAACTGGTCTCATTGTGCCTAATAGTTCTTTGTCACAGGGCTTAGACTAGACACCTTCTTTCAAGCAGGGCGCAAAACATTTGCTTTTAGAAAATCAATTATTTGCTTGAAATCTTGATCTTTCTCCTGTTCTGCTTTGATATCTATATTTGGTTCCACTTCATCATCATCAACTCTTTCAGTCGTCTTGACTTCAGCTTGATGGCACCTGGTTAGTTCAACCTCTCTTTTGCAGCAATGTCTGCAGTCACTTTTGCGGGGTTTTCGGCTCAGTCCATCGGCATTACCATGAGATTTTCCC